TATTGAGAGGATAACTGGCAGGTCTTGCACCCCAGGAGGTATTGCTTTTAATTAAAAGAACTGAAATTGCCTTGTGATGCACAAAGCCAGACCAGCCAAAAGGACTCAATAATACTACAAAAGCATGTTCACAGGGAGATGGCATTAGATGACTGATTATTATTTTCATGTCTAATTTCTATGTTTAAAGAGGCCCATAAATCCCCAATTTTATATTAAAGTTGTATTTCATTCACAGCCAGGTTTTAACTTGAAGAACAATTGAGGGGTAACAGAACAAACCAGAATGCTGAATGTAGGTTTTAATAAATCAACTTAGAAGAAAAGCATCATCTCTCAGGAACCACATTTCTTGCACAGATAGCAGAGAAAATGGTCTGGGCTCTTAACCTGAGTCTTTGCCTATACCTGTGCCCTCAAAACCAGATCCCCTTAATGTGCAGGCTGTGAGCTTCTCAGCATGAGCAAAATTCAGCCCTTTGAGCATGCAGGTATGAGAAATGACTGGCAGATGAATGCCTCTGCCAGGCACATCAGAGCAGTCCACAAGGTAACCCCATTCAAAACCCGCCTGGACGCATTCCTGTGTAACATTATCTAGGTGTTCCTGCTCTGGCAGGGGGATTGGACTAGATGATCTTTCGAGGTCCCTTCCAATCTCTAACATACTGTGATACTGTGTGATAAAGTGAAGCCAGAACACTCATGCTTGCCTTGCTGCAAGAAATACTCTTTTAGAGAAAAGCTGACACTGGCTGGAGATGCAATGCTCGCAATGCTCCACTATTCCTAGCTCAGTTACCTCTGCACACATCCAATGGAGCAGACCCTGTGGAATGACAGAACATGAAGCTAAGTCTAGATTTATCATATTTCAGGATGTCAGAAAACCTAATATTACCCTAACCAATGAAAAGCAGGAGTGCCACCACTTGAAGGGGATATATTTTACCATGGCTTTTACCCCGACCTTTCCTGCACAGCGCATTTCAGTCTTGTGACCCAAGCATGACTGGTGCTTGCTATTCAAGCTGTCACATCCGTGAAGGAGGAAGTAGGGCTGGCATTAGCAATTTGCTGCTTACTCTTATAGTCAAGCCTATGACAAGAAGACCCATCCCAAAAGGGGGATCCAGCCCTAGAGGCTGGCACATTTAGAGCACACTGGTTGACAAAAAGATTCCTGCATGTTAGGCATGCACCTTCTTCATGGTGTTCTATGGATATGTTTTCACCTCTTACTGCCCATAGATAAAGATGTGATGAACATGGCTTGACGGGAAAGTTTAGATTGGGATCTTCTTATGTCAAATAACTAAAGACAATCATTCCTTATGTCACTTATTCCCCCACCACATGACCGAAAGCATTTTCCCAGCCAAAAGTGCTGGCATTCTCCATCATACAAGGGGTTCACTTCTGATTGCATGCTAAGGGACAAATGCCTTCATCCCATGTCTCCATTGGTGTCTGTCCAGTCACAGGAGAGCCCATCCTTTCATACATTGAGAGATTAACAGATTTGATAGTTGAACCACAAGCGGACTTCTGTTCACAAGATGGAAAAACCAGTAGAATGGCCAGAGAAATCACTCTGCTACCTTGCATCTGGCTCCCAGCTTTGGTTCTTCACTTTAGTGAAAGGATTTGTTCCCAAATAGGCGGAATAACAGGGTTTCTCACACAGCTGCTGCCTGTCCCTGCTGCATTCCCCGATTCAGCTGCCCTCCAGAAAAACAGAGAAGTGGCAGGAAAATTGCTAGTACAATAGATGACTATCAACTTCTGCTGTCGCTTCTCTCAATGCACAGACATTCAGTTATTAAAAATGTAAGAATACCCTGTATTTTAGGTCGCCTTCCTTTCCTGTCCTTCATCACTAAATGTTGTCATAGTTTTCTTTTAGATCATACTAGTAACCTAGTTCAGAAGGCTCCAGCACAAATGGTTTATAACTGACCTGTGAAACACGAGGACCAAAAAGTTGTCTTTGTTTTTTGACTAATGCTATTCATCCCAAGAAAAAAGCACACGCAGAAAGTTCTTAATGTTTTAAATAATTAAATCACCAAGTAGGAAACCCACCTGAGCTTTAAAACAAACTCATCATGCATTACCAATGATCTCTGAAGAAGCTGCCAGGTGAGAAGAAACATGGTAAAGACAGTCTGTTCATCAGCTTTTATATCCTGTACTGCAAAATAGCTCTCTAAATCCTAACAGAAATCACCATTCCTTACCTTACCCTAGTAAAGAAGACAAAGAGCACAGGGAGAAGAGAGCTTGCATGGCTTACGGCTTTTAGAAATTACCTGCCAAGAGTGTAATTTTAAAGTGATTGTCTTCCATTAGGGCTACAATAAACAGCATGGTGGAAAATTCAATCTGATTAGCTTTTCTAATGAGCTGCAGGAGGTTGTGGAGGCCAGAGCAGAAGAATCTTAAACATTCCACCACTGATTACAAACCTGCCTCTGAATTAATCAGATAATGAAGTGCATAGATTTAATGAACCTAATGCTGATCAACAAATTATCAGTGATCCTTGTAGATTTTTGTCAGGCTAAACACCTTTTTTTCTAAGCTTTCCTAGAGCAGGAAGGTTACAAAAACTATGTGCTCTTGAGGTAGATTTTTATGCAATAACCACTAGTTGTAAACTTTATAATTTACACAATTATTTAATTTACTCACAATGTGCTCAAGTTCCTGGTGGGGCTCCAGGAGGGCTGTTGTTATCACGGATACAATTTAATTGAGGCAGCAGCAATTAAAAAGACGAGCTAAATCCTGAGGACTTTTACTACAATCTCACTGGAACAAATGGAGCTCTTACTCTGGAAATGAGAGCGCAACAGGTTTTAGATATTGCCAGTGTACCATGTGCAAACCCAAATTCCTAAACCCGAACTATCTCTTTTGATAGAATTTAATTAGCTCCTTCCATTTTGCAACAGAAAAACTAGCCATAGTATCCCAAAGCAGTGCTATCTAGCTGGTTGTGGAACAAAACAGATAAATGCTATTGGTACTCAACATTATATTTAAGTTTCAGCAACCCCAGTGCTCCCTGTGAGGGTAACACTTTTACTACACCTGATCAGCCTGATACCTATTTCTTATGAGACACAGACCTTTAAGGCACAGGGAGAAACGGTTTCACTTGCTGTTTCTTCTGTTTTGGAATGCTCTGCTTTTGGGATTTCTTTCCATTTTCTGCTTAGTCACCAACTTAATACTCACTGAAAGATCAAAGCCATTACTGTTAAAATCTAATATACTGCTCTTGGCTACTGACAGAGTCAGGGTATGGACTAGACAGACCTTTGCTCTGATCCAGTATGGCAGGTCTTATGTTCTTATTATGACTTAAAATTTACTTTCCCCACAGGGATGTGCTTGTAGAAGTCCATCTGTGAAGTGATTCATGAGAAGTGGACATAAAAGAGAACCGAATATGACTAACTGAATACATTAAAAAAATTAAACAAGTATTCCTGACAAATGAACACTTGAAAGATCTTAAATAAAACCCTAAGAACTTGGATTTGTCACCTCTCTAGTATCTGTTTTGCATTTTAAACAGTTGCACCTTTGATGAAACATTTTTTTAACGTTATGTATTGCCCTTTCCTTAGAAAAACATATGTGGCTTTTCCTTTCTATCTCAGTTGTTTTGGATTAAAGAAGAAGAGACAATTACAGCAATATCAAAGAAAGAGACAGAAGCAATCGCATGGATCAAATTATTATCTCATTGAAATCCAGGGGCCTGTTACTTGCAAGTTCAGTTGGACCAGGATTCATCCCCAGTGCCTGGAACAGTGGCAAATTGGTTTTAAACCTTGTGCATTACTCATCTGTGCCCAATATGATTTATCCTGCAATGTTAGGTTTTTGGAATTTGTCTGAATGGCTTTCAATAACAACAGCTCTGGAAATCAAAAATACTCTGAATAAAAGAGCCCAACTTCTTTTGAAAAGTAAATTTTGTTAGAAATGTCATTTCTATTTCAGTTACTGACTTTGAATGTTCAGAGTCACTGTGAAGGCAGAGCTGACTGATAGACTATTTGCAATATTTGTTTTTGAGGAGTGGGAATAGGCTGAATTTTATGGCAATAACCATTTAATACATTATTCCTAACATCACTGTGTATGCTTTCAAGTGATGGCATGCACATGTTGTAAATATGGTATCTTTCTGATTCTAATAGGGGATAATCATAATAGATCAACCAAACCAACAGATATGTGACTGCATCTAGGGGTTGAATGGCATAACACTGACACTCATAAAATAATCAAATAATCTCTTTTTCCTGCCAACCGCAGGCTAAGCATTGCTCACTGTGGTTTTGAAGTTGAAATATGTCTCAAAAATGTCTTCTTCTAAGTACAATTTTGAACATCGACTGTCTCACTGCTTTGGAGTTTTCATGACAGTCTTAGTTTACAATGCTAGAAAACAGGATGCTGGAGCATCAGCAAGCTTTTCAAAACCCCTAAAAGAACAGGAATTCTGATGGATGCCATCTTAAGCGAAATGAAAAGATGACAACATCCCAAAAGAAACAAGGATGAAAAGCGGGGAGTACTTCACATCTCATCCTGCTGGCAATGCTCAGCTTTTCTGGTTATCAAACTCTACACAAGTAAAGTGAGAATAACCCCCCCCCAATGAATTGGTTATTTCTCAAGATGAAATACTTAAAAAGGGTTTGTGGTAGATGATGCCTACTTTTGGAACCTCTGAATTTCCAAAGTATTTTTAATATTGAAACTATGACTAATATTTTTATCTTGTGTCTGATGCCAGTTGTTCTTATCCTAGATCAGTTGAGTATATTTGGTTAACTCATTTCTAGTTATTTTGGGGTAGTTCATGCACGCTGAGGCCACTTGCAGGAAGCCCATTAATAAGCTACCAAGACCTCACAAGTTTCAGGAGGCAAAGATACATACAGAAATATCTTCTGCAAATCATAGAAAGGATTGTGTCTAAATTCAGGCTCAAGGTGGCAGTTTGGGTTTGTTTATTTGTTTTTGCTTTTTCTCTTCTTTCTTGAGAGGAAACCCAGTGGCAGCTGTATGTATTCATATCTTAGTCTCACTGAACTTTTCCTTGTATGTCAGGAGGATAGATTTGGTCATGAAATTCAGTCTTCCCAACAGTGCGATTTAAATACCTGTTTTGGTACTAAACAATCAGCATTTTTTTCTGTGCACCTCTGTTGGTTCTTCCACATATCCCATCCTGTGAATCACAAGTATTTCTGTCTGGGTATTTTTTAGATACTTCTAAAAACACAGAGCTGGACAGATCCTCAGGATGCACCAATGGCCCGAGCTCTCTGTAAGCTGCAGTCAGTGGTGATTCTTGAGACAGAAGGGGTTTTCCATATCCCACCTACCTGTCCAAACAGCGAATAGGGAAAAAGAATGATAAAAATAATAGGTAGCTCAGACCTCGAAAACAACTGTTTGATCTAAAAAATTTCCCTCTCTGGGATTCCATATCCTTCCCTGACAACCTGTTCCACTGCTCAAGTGTGCTATCCACACACCCAGAAATGATGTGATACTATTTAACCTAATACCCCTTGGTGTAAACTAGCCAGCTCTCTCTCCTTGTGTGTTAGGAAACCTAAGAAGTGACAGTGGACATCTAAAAAAACACCATTATCATTTTTGGAGGCTTGTAGCTTCCCTCATTACCCTTCTAAATGTAATAATGACAGTTGTTTCAACCTGTCCTCCCAGGCCAGGTTTCCTACATCTCTTAGCACTTTAGCTCTCCCTCTTTCTCCCTCCCTTCCTCTCTCCCCAGTTTAGCTCTGTTCAAACTGCAGAGTTCAGAACTAGATGCAGGAATCTGGCTCAAATCTTACAAGTACCAAACTGTGCAGATCAATCACCCCCTATTTCTATACGTGCCTTTTGCATACACAGTCAGGGACAACTCTTCATGCCATCCAGCTACTCATCCACTACATTCCTGTGCACTTATCTCATGAGGAACACAAGTATTGCCACAAGTAACCAAGAAGAAAAATCATTCTTGATTTTAAAGTTAATTAAATGGCTGAGAGTTAGCAAATTTCCATGTGTCCCAACCCCAAGCAGGCTCAGCATCATTCCAGCTGTGTGCTAGGGTAAGTATAAGAAGGCAGTCCAGAGAAGTCTGTTTACTAGAGCATTATGATGGGTCAAAGAAAGTTCTTGGCAGGCTACACAAGCTCATGGGTCAGATGTTATGCAGTCCTGTTTTATGTCTTGTCTTTTATATGTTAAATTCCTGGGAAGTTGGGAGAGGAAAGGAAAGAAGAGGAGAAAAGAGAAGAGGAGAGAAGAGGAGAGGAGAGAGATGTTCTTTGGACAATATAAGAGCAGTTTATAATAATAAATGCATGGAGAGAATTAAATTCACTGTCATCAGCTGCTCTCACTCTCTTAATTTAAATGAACTTCTGTCCTTTTACTCCAACCTGACCAAATCTCCTGGCAAATACTTTCGAAAGCTTCCAGAGTAGGCAGTCACAGAACTGGGGACTTGCTAGATTAACTGCTTGTCCAGATTTGAGTGACCCAACTGTCACATGTTCACTAATCACTCGGGCCTGCTGGCACCCTGGACCTGTGGCTGCTTTCTCGGTCCTGCAGAACTGTGCAGGCTGCAAGTCAAATCCACTTTAGCTGAGCAAACTGGCTCGTGTGCCATTTTTGGAATATACAGCTCTATAAATCTCAGTATGGCCTTTGGAACTGTATATTACTACAGAACTGTGGGAAACCCCTTTTGGGAGAGAAGTGGCACAGTTGATATTTAATCACTGCAAAGTCTATTGCAACACACTGTCTCTTTCCTTTGAAATAAAAGCTTTTGAATTACAGATGATCAAATATATTCACACCCCAAGCGAAACCAGAATATTTCTGGCCTCTTGCCAGTATCGGCTTGGGTGTAAAATATTTGACATTTTGCATTAATTTTTTACAGTAATAAAAGCACTTCCTCAGCTAAAATCTCCTTTGCCATCCAGCAAATGCCACTGGGCTTGCACTTAGATTAGATGCATACGAGTAAATCCATAGGTGTCATGACTGGGAAGAACAGTACTTCTGGGCACTGTGCTACATGACTGCTTACAGATGCCACCATGGTACAGTCATCCACCACATCTACAATTTGACGGATTAGCAAGAAGCAATGCTTTGAGATATACTTTAATAAAGGTAATTACATTAATCTATGCACGTGACCAGTGAAACAAGGCTGCTATACTGTGTGCAATGTGGCTGAGTTAGCACTGATACAGGCATCTTAACTCAGCATTTCCAAAATCTCTAGCTCTGCAACCTGAATGTTGCATTAACTTACCTTCTTCTTTCATGTATTGACATTTCTTTCCTTTGGGGAAGGAGGCCCAAGATTTTAACAAACTGAGAAAGATGATGTTAACCTTATAAGAGGGATCAGTCGCAGAGTGAGTTAGGAGTTTATTTCTAACACCTGTTGTCATTGCAGTGTTGCTGCTAACAGGGTAAGTATTCCTCTCTCCAGGAAACGAGGAGTCACCCCATTAAACCCTGCTCTGTACAGTGAGGGGAACTGGGGATGGCAAATCTGTCAGGGCCCGCAGAGCAGAGGCTGACAGGTATCAGCTCCTGAGCTTCCCAGCCCCTGCTGAGGCACAGTGAGGGAACAGATCACACCACCTCTGCAGGCCCTCAGAGACATTTGCTTTCTCTTTTCTTCCTGAGAAAACAGAGCTCTCAGCCCTACTTCCAATGTCTCAACCAAATTGTCTTAGCTGTAATTAAACATGGAGAGGGAGAAGAAGTATTTCCTTTCCTGCTACAACAGTCACATCTAGCATTCAATTTATCTCTGAGCAGAGATCTGTCACTTGGAACGTGGGACAGACGGGACAGAAAGAATGCTGCCACCTGTGGCTCTGCATTTTTTAAAAGGAACGTTGCTGGGTATGAGATTTAGACTCTCCCTTCTGGCTCATTTGAAGACAGGCAGCCTGGGCCTGATTTACAAAGGCAGCAAGGTCCCTCATGGTGCAGACAGGAATCCAAGACCCTGAGTCATGTAAGTCTCTAACGTCATGATCTGAACAGGAGTTTTGTGTTCAAACTTTGGGATTTCTGTTCTCTTCCCATAGGTGCTTAAATGCCATTGTGAATCAAGAATGGTTTCATTCTTCAAATGCTCTCTTTCTTGAAAGGAGTAAATAACTGCTGTTTGCCTCTTTACACAGGAAAAATTGCACCATGACACCCAGATCTACAAGCTCTCCAAATTATGGGAGCTTCCCTTATAGTTAGCAGACACTGTGAACAACAGGACTGCAGTCTGTGTTTGGAAGCTACCTAACTTCCACCTAAGCCTGTTTTACAAATATATTTCTACCAAAAAAAAAAAACCCAACAAACCAAAAAAGCAACAAAAACCCCAGAAAAAAAGAAAACAAAAGGGTAAAAAGAAAAAAATCCCTATACCTTAAAAGTGTTCAACTATTTGTGAATGGATCTACATAAGCATCTGTGGGCCAGCAGACTTTCCTGCTCATTTATGATGTTAAGGGTTGGGATACATGACCTAGTGGGCAGGAAATCAGGCACACACACAAGTTTCCCTCTTTCTGCCTCACATAGAAACAGGATAAAGAAAACACAGGGGGGAAGGGGATGGAGCAAGAGAGAATGAGAGACAGAACGGTCACAGTTGTTCCAGCTCTCCAGCACAGTTCTTACCAGCTGCCACCTCCAGCCGCGGATGTTTTGCCTGGGCTCAGGATGCTCTGGGAGAGCTCTGGCCCGTGGGAACAGCCATGTGCATGTGATGTGCAGATGAGAACAAAAGGCCCTGTGAAGCCCGTACATGCTCCACACTGCCTGAAATGCTGAGAGCCACTTTTAGGAGACAACTTACAGAAAAATAAAGAAGTTTACAAACTGGTTTAAGAGACAGTTAAATGGTTCTTTGGGGGGGGGGCTTTATAATTGAATTATAAGAACAAAAGAAATCTGAGGAGCAGGCAGAGGCCTTAAAGGCCCAACATGCTTGACCTCATTTGGTTTAATTGCACTGCTGGCTCTCTCAGTATAACCCTCAGTTGGAGAACAGTCTCTGGAAATCATTTAAACTCCTTGCTTCAGTTGCCTTTGTTAGTGATTTAGTCAATAATTTTATTAGCTCTTTGGTAAGATAGCTCTAAGTGCCCCAGTCTTTAATTAAAAGCCTCTTAGGTTTGAATCTTTTAGCAATATGAACATATCTATCCAAGCTCATTATCAGAACCTTCTATATATTTTATAACTTCCTCCTAGTCATCTCGGAGACGCTGTTTTCCACAGCGAGTAAACCCAGCTCCATTCGCGTTGTCAGTCTGTCAGGACCACGGTGCAGAGCTGATGGCAAACTGAGCTCTGCAGACCTTCCCAAGCTACAGCGAGGGGCCAGCGGGAGGATGGCCAGGGCTGCGGACGTCACTGGGCAGCGACATCGAAGAAGTGTCTGCAACCAGGGCCAGGAGGGGCCAACAGAGATACTGCAGCACTGTTAAATCATGATTTGGTCCTACCCTGCCACCTTAAGTACTGTAGCCTGGGGTAATGGAGAGCAGGTTTCGCCTTCCTCTGTGCTATTGGTTAAAGCAACTTCCATGCCACAGTCCCCAAGATTTTTCCCTCTCCTTGACATAACAGATGTTAAATTTTGAGCAAGTCTTAGCTTCAGAGTGACTTTTTTTTTTATATCTGCCCTCCAATAACTTCTTTATTTTTAGTACTTAGGTAATTTCTTTGAAATGAGTTCCTGTTTTTTCGGGAGGGTTTCTGTTCAGTCAGTGATCTCCCAGAAGCACAAATTCAGTGCACCATTTTCAACTCCAAGCAATGTGAATACTTGCAAGGCTGGAAACAGTCATTACTGCTCTGAATACGGTGGTGGTGTTCAGTTTTCTGGGAGCAGAGCAGGGGATGGTAATGAAATGGGCACCATGAAACTCCTGGTAAGCTGATTCCATCAGGGTTCAGTGCTGCTGTGAGAGGGCTGTGGAGGATGGCCTCCTTGGGAGCACATTTTGGAAACATCTGGGTCTGATCCTACTCTCATGTTCTGAATCCTGTGCAAAGTGGGTTCACTGTGCTCTCTAATTAGATCTGCTCACCCTAACTGTAAGGATGGAGTTAGGCAAAGGTACAAGCAGTGTTAAGTGAGTCCATCCTGATGGTCTCCAGGAAGACTGACGAGGAAGCTCAAATTGCAAGATAATATACTAGGAGGTGGCACTTCCTTCACCTGTGCAGAGTGCTTCCAGTCTCCCCCCAGCACAGCATCCACCCAAGCAGACCTGCAGAGGAGCTCATGCAGGCTGCAGTACCCAACAGCAGGCTGCTC